CACTGTGTACATTTTTACCTAGTACAGAATTAAAAATAAGTAAAAAGTTAATTTCTTGTTTATTTACATCTACTAGTAAAAGCTTTATACATTATGATGTGCTTTTAAGCATTTTTTATCATTAAAACAAACTGCAAAATGTTCTGAAATACCATAATTTAATTTATTCGAATATAGTAATGCATGTATTGGCTAATTCTGATATTTTACACTAGCATAAAATACCCATGCTCTCTCTGCAGGATTCTAATGTCCCCTCATAATTCACAGAGGCCACAATATATCAGTCAAGCATTTCCATTAATTTAATGACTTCTATAGCTACCTCAGTGGGCCAATTCTTTAACTGATTTATCTGTTGCCATTTATCAAATTTAATTCAATTCTTTTTAAAAGCAAATAGTTTTAATTTAGCTTCTCAGATTTGTTTTCCTTCCTGTGTTTTTATTTGAATTCTTTTCATTCTTCAATATTCTCTGACTTATATTTTTCTTCCTGTTGTTTGTTGCCAGTTCCCAAACTTAGTTCAATTCAAGTTTTTTTTTAATTCTCAGATTTGTATTTTTCTTCTCATATTTGTGTTGAGAAAAAGTATTTGGCAGAAAACCTCCATATATTGTTCATTAAGTAAGTGAGAATTAGAAAAAATATATGATATTTTTCTATAGACCTTCAGGAAGCAGAATTATTTTTTGGGTCAAATCTAAAAAATAATACCCAGGTGCACACCCTCAGTACGCCCTTAGTATGCATGCATAGTTTCAGGTCTCTAGGTTCTTTCATCTTGGAGCTATGGCAGTCACATACACAGGCCCTTCTTTTATTATAGACTCATGATAACCTGGTGGTTAGTATGTTTATATATAAAATCTTTTTTAGTAATTCAAAACAATCTTACTTCTAAACTGTGCTTACTTAAACTTCAACAAGAAATCATAAGATCAAATATATTCATGTAATTTTATAGAAACCTTATTTTTTTACTTTTACTACTACAGCTATAAGAAATGGGAAGGTGCAGTTCAGTGTCTGGCTGTGTTAGACTGTCTTCTTAGCTTAACAGAGTACAGCCTATCATGTGTGGGAGAAATCTGTCGCCCAGAAGTTATAATTCCAAATATACCATACCAGGTGCGGTTCCAATTTTGATTTCAGTAGTTTTATTCAAGCATTATGCTTTTCTTGTATTGTGATGGAGAGTTGAGTAAAGTTTGACTAATAATGATGCATTTGTTGTATTGTGATGGATAGTTGAGTAAAGTTTGACTAATAATGATGTATTTGTTGTATTGTGGTGTAGAGTTGAGTAAAGTTTGACTGATAATGATGCATTTGTTGTATTGTAATGGAGAGTTGAGTAAAGTTTGACTAATAATGATGTATTTGTTGTATTGTGGTGTAGAGTTGAGTAAAGTTTGACTAATAATGATGTATTTGTTGTATTGTGATGTAGAGTTGAGTGACATTTTGACTAATAATGATGCATTTGTTATATGGTGATGTAAAGTTGAGTAAAGTTTCTACTAATAATGATGCATTTGTTATATGGTGATGTAGAGTTGAGTAACGTTTCTACTAATAATGATGCATTTGTTGTATTGTGATGTAGAGTTGAGTAAAGTTTCGACTAATAATGATGCACTTGTTGTATTGTAATGGAGAGTTGACAAAAGTTTTGGCTAATAATGCTTTCTATAAAATGTTTTATGTGTTTATAATAAAACATTTTTTATTTCACTTGCTATAATTATGTATGGACACAGTACAACTATTAGTGATCAGACCCTGATACAGAAAGTAATACGTATGGCTGAACTTGATCTCGTCTGAACTTAGAACTTTTAGAAAATTATAAAGAGGGCTACTAAGGCAGTTAAATATTTGTAATGATAAAGGTAACAGTTAAAGACTTTTTTGGTATTTTGTTTCAATTATGTAATAACTTCTACCAGAAATAAAAGAATCAAGCAGAAAAATGTTTTTCTATTTAAATATACCTGTATATTTTACAAAAATAGAATACATGAAACAAATTACTATTTTGATATTTGGTTCTGTCTATTAGAACAGGTTTTAATTTTTTTGTTGCTTAATTTTCTAACACATAACAGTTATTTGTATTCAGTTATTTACAGTGTTAATGTTAATAATAACGATTGACACTGGTGTGTCATACTGACTACATAAAACATTGTTAATTAGAACAATGCATTTAGATCTTATGTATTCAATAACAGCAGTATTGTATTCTAGTTTGATCATTTGTTGTTAGAAAGTTTGCATCTAATATAATATAATAATTTTCTTAATTTATTACTGTTATAACACAATGAATAGGATTTTTCAGTAATTATAATCAGTATATAATGTTATGTGAATTTTATTACCAGCCATTTTTGGACATTTCACAAGGAAGACATCCAACATTAGTGCATCTCTTCTCAGGATGTGATTTTATTCCTAATGATGTAAACATTGGAATGAAAGAGGTAAACAAGAAAAGATGAAAAATAATGATTTTCTGTTGTAGTTATTGTCGTAATGATATGTGTATAATAAAATTCACAAATATTTTAAATTTTCCTCGCTTTAATACATCAGGCTCATTAGCCTTCCAACAAACATAGGTTTGTTAAAAACAAAAAATGTTAGAATAAAAATCATCACAATATATCTAGATTATGTTGAGGTAGACTTTTGCATGCTTCTTTCAGTACTTGGGGAGTATTGTCATGTGTAGAACTTGTTACATCTGTCTGTCTTTATTTAAGTTTTTGTTCACCCTTTTCTTTTCAAACGTTACTTCAAATTTTAGATTATGGTGTTTTGAGCAAGATTTTTTTTTTTAAAACTTATCAGCTTTATTTGGGGCATCTTAATCTTATCATTCTCTTTTCTGAGTAATAAAAAAAAAGCATTAAAGTTAGTCAAGGTTAAAAGTTCCACTTTTGCTTTACTTTTGATACTGAATAAATATTACAATAATAAACAAGTGGGAAAATAAATTTTAGAACCAGCTGATGAAATGTGGAACTAGCCACGAAACTGCAAAGTGAAATATTCAGATATTTTAATGTAGTTATGCAGTTCATTCAAAACATCATGATGCGTATTGGTTTTATTATCATAATATTACCATAAATTTGGGCAATCTTTTTCTTTGTTATATTTACTCTCAGATGCTAATAATGATGAAATTTAAGTTTTGAAATACTTTCATTTCAACTTCAATCATCAAAGATTTAGTTTTGTTTAATTGCATTGTTTAAGAGATATAACTATTACCTTACATCAGCAGCAGGATGAATCTGACGACAGTGGTCATACCAGTAGTCTTGTGCTGGTGACAGGACCAAATATGGGAGGAAAGTCAACGTTGATGAGACAAACTGGTCTAATTATCATCATGGCACAAATGGTATGGCTAGAAGGAAACAGTATCTTGTTTTGTTTATATGTTGCTTGTTTCTTGATGCTATTAAAGATCTAATAATCTGTGATAATGTGAAGCATTTGTCTTCTGAAAATCCAAATCAGGGTATTAAATTGAGAGCAGTTGTACTCGTAAGTCTTTGTTTAATTTTAAATTCCATCAGAATGTAAGTATGTGTGTGTGTGTATTTTTCATTTAATTGATGTATGAATAATATCCAATAAAATAAACTTTGAGGCCAACTCTACAGTACATTACTAAATGCTTTCAAGCTCATTACTCAGCTCGTTGTCATGCGTTCAATAAATATGTTAGGAAGTTAGACTCACAGTTTATTTTTTAACTTTATCCCACAGTAGAAGAATATGCCCATTTTCTTGAGATCCTTGACAGACCACTCTAAAACCCGGACCCATATATTTAACTCTTATGAACTAAAGTAAGGGTGAAAATAACAAAGAAACAAATATCAACCACAACAATTACATGCGGTGTCTTGATACGGAACTCTTGCCAAGTGGGGGTGTTTCAGAAATTGAAGTCTGATTATAATGTTGACTGGCTGTGCATTAAGTCTTTGAAAAACCATATATTTCATATGCTTTAATAGAATCATTCATTGGATAATGACTGCAGAAATTAAATCGTTGCAATTTTACTACTCAGATTTTGATTATTTCTAGGCTAGCATTCCTGGTTTACATTAATTTGTGTAAGCATCTTTGTTAGTGTTGTGTGTTGCATATATAATGAAAGTTTGTGTGGACTACGTCTCAGTATGTTCAGGATATTGTGTTCCAACACATCTTAAATTCTTAATACAATAGCCTAAGGCAGTGATTCTTAATCAGGGGTAAATTTACCCCTTGGGGGTAAAAAATTGATGTACCTGATGATTGTGTGTGTGTGTGAGAGAGAGAATGCTAAGAATGTGTGTGTGTGTGTGTGTGTGAGAGAGAGAGAGAGAATGCTAAGAATGTGTGTGCTATTTTTGTGCAAAACCTGAATAATATATTTTTTTTCTTCTGACCTTCTTGTTTTTCTGTCCCTTTATGATGGCTATGAATTTTTTGTACAGAAGTAAGGGGGTAAATGGAGAAATACATCAAGCCGAGGGGGGTTAATGATGGAGGAAAAGTTGAGAATCCCTGGCCTAAGGAGATGAAAATCTGAAGTAGTAGTTGAGGAAAGATTGATAGTGGAGTTTATGAGAGTTAAAATTTCATTCTTCCACAATTTTTCATGATGTTTCAGACCAATTGCTCTAGAGAAAAAAAATTGTACCTTTTCAAAGTTTACATAAGAATTTGTTGGGTCTAAAATGCTAAAGACTACATTTTCTGTTTTTGGAAATTCCTAATACACTTATGTAAGTGTGAAGTACCTTGTTTTAAATTATTTTATTTAAAAACGAAATGCTAATTTTCAATAATGTAATAGTCTGTGCACTGATTTTAAATCTTCAGCACATATAGTAGGAAATGATCAATGTGACCAAACTCTACTTGTCACTTTTCAGAGTAGTTTTATATTTAACATGTAGATTTTCAGCTAAAGCTAGTAAACTTGAGAAGGGGGAGCATTAATTTTCTTTTTGAGAATGTTTTTCATAGAAATGATTAATAATTCTAGTACAAACATTTTGACAGTGATTTTGTCAATTCTTTTAAATTTATTCAGTGTGACTCATTTTTTGTCTAAATTTGTTTGAATACTGAAAAAGTGTTATAGAGTTGGCATCGATATCAGATGTACAATAATTGTTAAGAGTTCATAATGTAATCAGTTATGGTCTTGTATCTTTTTAATGAGAAAATGAGAACTATTTTAACCTGAGATTTTGCTTTCTTGAAAGAACAAACTTGTGATTTTTCTGTCACTGGTTAGAAGGGGGGGAGACATTTCAAACAAGTTATTAGAAATGATTTATCAGCATTGTGAAATATTAAGTTTAAAACAAAAGTAGACATTGTTGGGTGTTATCCTTTACTCCTGGTTATTTTCAGTTGTTAAAGCACTTTAGTTTAATTCAGAGTAGTTTGTTTAAGCATCAACAGTTTGCTATAACAAATCTTACATCTCTTTTTGATATCTATTTCATTTCCTTGTAATACAGTTTTTTTGAGTATCTTTCCTGTAAACTTGAATTAATGCTAATTAAATTTGTGATGTAACCTTCAGATAACCTTGAGATAAGACTGAAAAACATTTTAAGGAAAATGTTAAAGCCAACTGAATCCTGTTTGTATTAAATCCTGTTTGTAAACTGAATCCTGTATGTAAACAGTTTGTATTAAATTATTGAAAATATTCAAATGAAAGAACTGATATCTTCCAGTTTCAAAATTGAAAATTTTTTTTTTTTTTTAAATCAGTGGTACTATATTTGAATTTATTTTATCATGTTGTTCTGACACCTTTGTTTGTGATAAACTTGTTTGTTTATCAGGGATCATTTGTACCCGCTACACACTGTCGGTTCACTCCTGTGGACAGGGTCTTCACACGGCTTGGAGCAAGTGACCGAATAATGGCAGGTTAGTATTATCTTTAACAGATCCTTTGCCTTATAAATATGTGTAAAGTTCAATTTAAAACTTTTTTTAAGAAAATTTAACTTTTCTCACATTGATAATTTCAATTCCTAATTTTTCCTGTGTGAAATATTACTTGTTAAACTATTTTAATAACAGTTTAATAGTGAATAACACTTGTCCCATATGATAACTTGGTTAAGGTATTTGGTATTCCATTTATTTCTAAAACTTCTCAGGTTAACTAGACATAAACTAAGTACTAACTTATGGTATGGGCTCTGTTTCTTGTGATACCTAAACTATGAGCAACAGCAAGGCTTAGCAAACTCTTACGGTGTAGCTGGGTAAATGTTCGAATTAATTTTTTCATCTGTGTCAAATATACATTTTTGTAGAGTAAGAAATCACTGGTGTAATTTTTGAATAGCAGTTTTGATATTTACGTATTATAGTTAAATTTAATATCTTAAAAGTGAATTTCACATGTATTTCATATTTCTAAGTTATTTACTTGTTTCTCTCCAGAAGGAGCAAGTAGAGATTGTCAGTTTTTTTCAAACATATAAACAAGTTAATTACGAGTTTGTTGCAATTTTCTTGCTTGATTCTAAGTATACAGCTTGAAAAGTTTGATAACACATAATTCTTTTGGTTTCTTTTTTCTGTTTTTTAATGATAACTGTGTTACCTGCCAGGAGAGAGTACGTTTTTTGTTGAACTAAGTGAAACATCATCCATCCTCCAGCATGCCACCCAGCATTCACTGGTACTTCTAGATGAATTAGGTAAGAAATATTTCTTTTTTTTTCACCAAAAGTACTAACATATCTTTAGCATGCTCTAAATAATAATAGTGTTAATGTTTTATTGGAATATTCTTACCTAGACATTAATTAATCTAATGTAAAAGCAATTAACTCTACTTTACAGGTCTCTCTTCCTGTGCATTTCTCTGCATGACATAAGCTTTTACTGAGTAACATTCAAAATTTAATTAAGCAACTTTACTATCAACTTATGTCACTAAAACTAGCATAATAATAAACATTATAAGGCAATGTTTTAAGTATTGAATTTTTAGTCCCATTATTTTAAAAGAAACCTTACAAAAATACTTAAACTTCAGTTTTGTTGTCACATGATACATTAATTTACTTTTCTTCAGTCTATGCAACTTGAATACTGCCTCATGTACACTGTACTATGTATAGACAAAAACTAGGCTAATTGCTCATTTTACACATTCTTCTTTCAAACTCCTAAGTGCATGTTCGTTCTCAGAAAGGAGATATAAATAAACTCTTGACTAAAGCCATGCCCACTTTCTACACATAGAGTTGTGATTTCTCAGCCAATTATATTTATTTGAGCTAGATGCTGATAACCAATAGAAAAAACACAATTTAAAATATGATATCCCAATAACTATTTTAAATTGGTGTGAAGAATTGCGTATAAAACTTAGTCATACTGCTCTTAACCTTTTTCTTCACTAGAACTTAGCATTGTTTCTCACCTAGAAATATGTTAGTTAGATAGATAATTAAATTATATTTAGGGTTTAGCTAATTATGTATTATTTATGTTTTAAGATGCATATTTGAAAGGTTCAATAATTTTTTTAATATAACCCAACTCCTCCTCAGTTCATGAGAGATAGTGTAGTAAGCGAGTGCAACAATATTCTGCTGAACACTGAAGTATCTCTACTGATGATACTCTAATATTGGCTGGAGATGCCCATTGATGTGTGTTGAGATAAATATTAACAATGCTAAAGAACAGGAAAGGAAAATAAAACATGAAAAAGTTAACTATATGTGAAAATGTAAAGACATCCAATCAAGATTATAACCAATGGAAGATTTTTTAAGATTATTTGATGAAAAATTAAAAGTTATGTACATTTTTCTTATTTCTGAATTTTAAAGATTTCATTGTACTATACATTGATGATAATTGCTACAATTAGTAATATGGTAGACAAAGCGAAAAATAACATATAAATATTTACCTTAAAACTTTGGATATTCATTTAGGAGGTTCTAGAAGTTATGCAAATGAAATTTGAAAACTATAAGATGGAAAACAGTACTTAACATGATGATCACTTGCACTCAAACTATTCAATAGTCTAAGTGCAAATAACTACAATAAATAAATAACGAAAATATTTGAAATACTTAATTAAAACAGTCTCATTCTTTGTGTGCAAAATACTTGTAATCTTAAACAAAATCTTGCCAAAAAACCAAATCATCATAAAAAAATGATTTTGTCAATTTAACTAGAATTGTTGTACCACAAGAATGTAAAGTTGTTCACGTGAGAAAGATATTCAGGAAGCTATGTTAATACATTACTTGGTGATTCATCTTTGAGTACAAATAAAAACAAAAGCATGAAACCCTAGAGCCAGAGCACTTTGGAAAGGTGCACCTTTCTTCAACAGGGGCAAACTGGGAAACAGAGTGCCTTTGATGATGAAAGGTGTCTCTTTTGAAAGTGCCCGGATCATAGGATTTCATACGTTTGACCTTTAAGTGTTCAGGTGATAGTTATGTTGTACGTGTATTTTGTTTTCTACCAGGAAGAGGAACCGCCACCTTTGATGGTTCAGCTATTGCAACTGCTGTTGTTGATGACCTTTCTTCCAGAGTACGGTGTCGCACATTATTTTCCACACACTATCATTGCCTTGTTGATGAATTTCTCCACAATCCTAATGTTAGGCTTGGTCACATGGTAAGATATGTGTAATATTGAAGTTAATAGTGTGTGTGTTTAAAATATCCAAGAAGATGACTCAAAGGTTTTAATAAGTTAAGCTACTCATCTTTTTTTTTTATTCATCAGTTAATAGTGTGTGTGTGTTTAAAATATCCGAGAAGATGACTCAAAGGTTTTAATAAGTTAAGCTACTAGTCTTCTTTTTTTTTATCATCAGTTTTCGAGATTAATATGGGAGAAAGAAGATCGGGAAGCTAAGTCATAACAGTAATTTCTTATTTTAAATGATGCCTCTTGCCTCATTTTTGTCGTGTGTTCATAGTTGGTTGTGGTTGTGTAGTTAAAAATTTTATAATTAAATATGCATAACATCTCATACAAATCTCATACACTTCACTTTCCCCATTTACATTAGGCATGTATGGTGGAGGATGAAAATCTTGAAGATGTAACCAAGGAAACAATTACATTCTTGTCCAAATTTGTTGATGGTGCCTGTCCAAAAAGTTATGGTTTCAATGCTGCCCGTTTGGCTGGACTTCCTGTAGAGGTACATTTTTGTATTTGTACACGATTTTATGTACATAAA